TATATTATTTGGGATTAAAATCAGGCTAGAATGGCTAAATCAAACAGTGTAGTTCTTGATATCAGACAGGCTAATTCTTAGTCAAGTTCGATAACATTATCTAGAATTGAGTCAAAATACACTAGAGATTTAAATTCGATAATGGATTTCGTATAGCTAAAATAGATTCGTAGGCGGTCAGAAATCTTTTCTGAGTACTATTTTGAATTCTGTCCTAGAAACCCCATTTTTGCCCTACTACATGTGTTAATAATGTGTTAGACAAAGCTGAGTTATTTGTTAAACATATAACTTAATTTTTGTGTGCTAAATTTTTTTCATATCAATATATCAGTATGAATCTTATATTTAAGATCCTTTTATATGCGTTGAACTATCCAAGTCATTTAATATTCTTGAGATTCTTGAAAAACTATCTAAGCCATTTATTACCTGAAAACCAAATATGAGCACATCTGAGAACTATCTCAGCCAGAATGGTAAGCTTTAGAGCAGTATTTTATTTCAACTTGTAATATTTAACAATGATACTAACAACCTTTTGACCTTCTAGTTCTTAATTTTTATATAAAAGAGCAAAGCAAAAAGGCATCATATCATAGTTTCTTGGACACTAATCACGATATTATTATTGCTTTAATATTCTCAGATGATTGGAAGGAAGTTAACAATGTTTGGCTTACAATTTTTTAAAGGAGGCAGAAAGATTGATGTAGGACCAAAGCATATTAATTGATTTAAAAAATAAGATATGTTTTTTTTTATTTTGCAAAATAAGGGTAACTCCTAGTCAACCCATTTTGACTTAGAAGAATTACTGTGTCTTGACGTTTAGTAACCAATCCAAGTAACCCTTGCTCAGACGTCCTAACTTTATTGTTGATAAGGTCTGTTAGTTCTGAAAAAAGAATCGACTATGTATCTTCCTTTATTACTAAATAAAAACTGATACACTACTACAATTATTTTCTTAAAATAGATCAAGTCAGAAAGGAAAATACTTTAAAATCTTATTGGAGTAGTATAATTGCAGAATGGAAAAAGATAAGTAAATCAATTATTAAACTCTTGTATATTAGTTATATAATTCACTAAGCTACTATATACTTATTATTATAGAATCCTGTGAATGAAAACAAGCTGTGATTGAAAAGAAAGAAAACATTCAACCACAATTGAAAAAGAACAATTCAATTACTGAATCTGATTTACCTCCAGTTGTGACATAATAAATCAGATTCAAGCACTGTATTTGTTGAATAACAGTCTCTCGATAAGATTTCAAACTGATAAAATTCAAAGAGAAAGTACAATTGTGGCAGCCAGAATGTATAGATAAAAATATAAAGAACCATTATTTGGATTACATACTATTACATGCAAGAAAGATATATAGACTGCATCAAAAATAAATATCTATGACACTCTGACATCACTCGACAAATTAATTTGCTTTCTAGATGGTTGTGCTTTGAAAGGTATAGCTAGAGAACCAGATTTTATAGTTATCGATAAAAATTATGAAATACTTTTATCCTTTGAATATAAAACACAATGGGTTTTAAAAGAAAAGTACTTTTTAATAAGAATATTATCACATTTTATCTTCAAGCAAAAAGGATTCAAAAGAAGAAACTTGCAGGTATAAAAGATACCACAGTTTACGATCCTGTAAATCAAATTTATGAATATATGTGTACTAATGAATTACAGTAAAAACGTCTTTTATAGTATATCTAACATTAAAAAGATTTTTAAAACAATTTTATTCTTTTTTATAATTATGGTATTTTGTCAACATATGAACTAACATGGTTTCTTAAAAGAGGAGTAAAAGGAGATCAAGAATGGTTATAAATATCAAATGTTATTACTAATGTATCAACAGATCTAATATTGCTTAAATCAGTTGCCTATTTAATTTTTATCACCTCTAACAACCAATATGCACCATTTATTAATAAGCCAATAATGGTTGCTGTTGAAGGTTTGTCTTCTGATATATCAGATGAAGAACAAAAAGACCATAAAGAATTTAAATATAAAGAAAAGAAAATTTCATTCTTAAAAGAGCTAAAAGTTATAACTCGAAGCCAAAGTTACTAAACTTTTAGATCTTTGAATACTAACAAGAACTTATAATATGAAAATTATTTTTGATTAAAGGTTATATGATCGATTTTAGAAGGAAAACTGCAACAAAAGCTTTATTATAGTATGTCAGAATTTCTAGAATGTGTCAAGAAAAATATGGTGACATTTGCAAATTCTACCTTGGATATCTGAGTGATAAAACGAAAGAACTTAGACAGATTTTATATAACAAACTTACAAACATGTAATTTCATTTTATGTATATTATCAAATGATGGATCAGATGAAATTGGTAGTACATTAAAAGGATTATTATACAATTGAAACCATGATACTTGAACATATCATTGTAACTTTTTTAATCAAACTATTATGTTACTAATATTTGTTAGACAAGCTATATCATGGATGGAAGAAATAATTGAAGATGTGAAAAGTTATTGAATGAAACTAGGTAAAAATAATTATGGTATTAAATTAGATTTGTCCTAATAGCTGCTTAGATTTACTACCAATATTATTTTTTGTATTACAATGAATAAAAGAATTTATGCATTAACAAATCTTTTCAATAGTATATTTTCAAAGAAAAAGATTAACGTGGATGCTATTATATTATTAAATCTATAGACTTTATTAAAAGAGTATATGATTTTATTACAAGCATAAAATATTTCTTGTTAATACTAAAATGGCTGCGATATTTCTTTGAGGGATATAAAAGACTACCATACAATTATTAAAGGAACAAGATAATCTAATAAAAGATTTATTACTATTGGTTACTCAACAAAGAGAAGAAATTAATAAAAATCCTTTGAATTAGTTACTTCTGATATGCTTAATATATTTTTGATAGCTATTACTAATAGAGATAATACTGAATAATTTGTCAATAAAACTAATAACTGATGAAGCTATTATTGATAACTTTAGTGAAGCAATTACTGGAGGTATTGATACAACTTCAGGTCACTCTATTATATTGGTTGGTATTTGACTCTTTATCCTAAAGTAAAAAAACATTTGAAAGAAATTGATTCAAAATTTTCATGCGATCAAAAATTATCTTATGAAAATCTCAGTAACCTTCCTTTTTATGATATAGTAATTAAAGAAGTTTTCCAATTCCATCTAACATTAGATTTTAATTGCCATATGAATACTAGAAAAGAAACTTAAATGGATTTATCATTCTTACCAAGACTTAACATTTTATACATCAATATGGTATAAACAAACATATGCTCATTGAATAACCCTAAAGAATTTAATCTTGATTATTTTATTGATGGCAATGATAAAAATGGAATACACCAATTTGAAGATAAACAAGAATGTATCCTGTAAGTCATTATTTTTGATTGTGTAGTTTTAATATACCACTTTATCATGAGTTATATAAAATGCAATTTACCTTTTTTTTTTAGGAATGAAGTTTAGCTATTATGGATTTAAAAGAATTGATAATATTGATTTATCAAAAATACAATATTTAATTAGTTGATAAGAACTCATCTATGAAAACTCATTATATCGTTAATAAATGTTTTATAATTTTTAGCTAATAAAAAGATTATAATAGATTTGTAATTTTTAAAAATTGATTTTGCCAGTTTGATTTTTTGATTTGAATTTCTATTTATCTTATAAACACACTCTTCACTACTTAAATAATTTTATTAAATTGAATTCATAAAATTATTATTTTAAATTTAATATTTATCTATTTAAATAGAATAAAAGTGACATATTGAGAATTTTTAGGTATATCTTTAATATTAATTCTTATTTATTTTTGATTAACTTTAATTATCTTTCCTTTTTAACTTCTTTAACAAATTTGTATCTAGAATAATACTGGAGAGAAGTTTTTTTGAGTTATCAAATATATTGTAAAAAATAAAATTAACTTAATTTTAGTTAGGAATCTAAAATCTGAACCGTTTACATAAGAAATGAAAATTAAGTTTATCTTATTTTTCAATATACATCTAAATATAACTATAGTTATATATTATTATTATCCTTTTTATGACTATCATGAATGTTTAATAGTTGGAAACGTGAAGTAAAAAGTAAAATAAAATTAATACAAAATAAGTGATAAATTACATCTTTCAATTTAGTATTTACTAATCAAAAGTATGTTTATTTTTTAAAAAAAAAATTGTACAATTCCATTCATTATTTATATCCTATTCTAAACATTTTGATTTGTATATCTTTTGAAGCATTAGGGTTGCTTGCTATAGCAAATTCCACAATAACGTAATATATAGAAGATTTATGACATATAGCAATATTTCAAATATTAAGTTTTTATAAGAAACTGACAGATTTTTTCTGATATACTTATTATCCATGAGCTGTTAATTTCTGATGTAATTTTTGACAACCAGAATGCTTTTGATGAAAAATAAAATTGTGTAATCATTTTTTTTTAAATTAATAAATTTAGAAATTAAACCAGGAATAAAAGGTAAATTATATATTTGTTAATTTATTCCTAAAATGTAATAATTAGAAATATTGAACCAGTTAAGGATTACTATATGAATTACATTAAAAAATTTGTTAATCTCATTAACAAATTTTTATATATCCAGTTTCTGGTGATGATGCTATAATTCAATAATAAATATAATTTATTATAAATAATAATTCATCTGAAATATTATGATGAATCTTTAAATATAAAGTAAGCTATAATACTAATAATTGTTTTAAATTTATTTCTTAAAAATTAAATATAAGCCAATTTCAAATGCTTTTTGTAAGGAAACAATTGAATAAAAAAAGTAAGAATATAGGCTATTATAACAATAGAATGCTTTAATAATTAAATTTTATACTATTGAAAATTACAAAAATTTATTTGAAAATGAAATTAACTTTCAAAAAATAAAAATAAAATAAAATGAAAAATACAAATTCTGATGTAAATCAAAAAAAAAATTCAAGGCTTTTTAAATTTTTCTAGCTTTAATTTTAACTTTTAATTTATCACAATCATATCGTTAATCAAAAATATTATTTGTTTAAAAATTTGCTATACACAATATCTTTTGAGTTAATTTTTTGTTGCTAAATCTTATTTGAATATTCATTTGGTTCGCTAATTTTAAGAATATAATTTAGGAATAAATTCTTTATTTTTCAACTATTTAATGAATTTCTAAAAATTGTTGTATTTCTACTTCTAAAGCTTCAAGATTTGTTATTTATCGTATTATGCTGTTGCTATATTGTTTGCTAGTAAGAACAATATATTTACCAATTTTATGTTTAATTAATTTTACTATTATTCAGGCTGAATATGAATTATTACGCAGTTTCAATAAAATCATATAATTTTAATCATTTCAATTAGAATTAATTGATACACATTAAATAATTATATAATTATTATTGTAAGCAAGCTACTTTTGCCAATATCTTATAAAAAAAAACCTAAAAGATGTGGTTAACAAATAGATAATTATTATGATCTATTTATGTAGTTAATTATCATGAATAAAAATGTCTACTAGAAGAAAAAAGTTATTGTATAAGAAGTATAAGAATTTTATAAGTCTAATCAAGACTTATTATGTAAGTAGAATTACAAAAATTATTTTATAAAAAAAGATTCAAATTTATTCATGTTTTACTTGCGATTAAAAATTTTATCCTAAAATTTTTTTAAAAAAAAAGCATTTAAATTTATTTATTTTATTTTATATAGATCTTTATTAATATACATGAAAAAAATAATCAGATATCATTTTCTTTTGCAGGTCATAAGGTTTATTAATTGCAATCAAATTAATGATTGATGCTGTTAGTGATAGCCTTGTTATAACATACAATACTGCATCAAACATAATTGACGAATGGTAATCTTGATGATAACAATTCTCAACTTTTTACTATTTTTCTATTTCTCTAATTTCACTAATTTCTTAGCGATCTCTAATTTCACACATTTCTTTAATATATTTAATTTCATTATTTATTATATTTCTTATATTTCTTTATTTTTTTAAATATATATTTCATATTGATATATTTTATATAAATATCTTATATCTTTGCCTTGATAAAAAGGCAGAGTCACTACAATTCTCTAAAAAAACAATAACATTTATCTCTAAAACTTATCCTTGCTCATTAATAATTCATTCTTCTTTAAATCTATATTAATAAAGATGACCTAACCCTTCAATTTAATTATTTGTGTTTATTTCTTCCATAATTTAGACGTATTTAAACTCCTTGCTAGCAAATAATCTTTGTTAACTTAATAATGAACAGTTTAAACTTAACAAGTAGTGATTCCTTCCTGGATATTTTTTGTTAATAATATAATATATACAACGAACTACTGATGAACTAGCGAGATATATGAATTTTGAAAAAGTTGAACATAATACAACTGAGTATATTATTAAGCATTATTCTAATACTAGTTTAAACGTAAATTGTACTTGTTTTTAGTATTATCCTTCATCCTTAAATAATAACCTCACAGATAGTTTTATATACTTTTGGGTTTAGTTTAACTTTGAACATTAAACTGATACTTATTTTACAAGAAGTATTGTTTCATTTAATTTATTTAAAAACCTATACCATACTCCTGAATCAGAATACCATGATAAATGATTATAGTATCAATACTTTCTAGTATTCACTATTGGGTCACACTATTTTCATTTGACATCTTATATTTATATCTTCTAAGCATAGTATTTAATACCAATTGTTTTGAATGACAAGTTATTCTATCTATTTCAAGAAGTATTTATATTGAAATATTAGATTAAGATTTACTTCAAATACAAAGAAACAGACAGTTATTATATCAAATACTTGTTTCACTAATCCTCTATGCTAATAGTTTATCTAATTTAACTACTGAAATCTCACCACCTGAATCATTAGAAATTATAGCAACAGAAGATCAAATAAAACAAACATTAGAAGTATCTTTGGTGTAAAAGGAGCTAATTTACGTAAAAAAGAACATACAATCAAAGTTGATTATTTCTATTAAATTGAAAATAAAGACCCTAGTAAATGACTTACTTCTTTTGAACAAGTATCAACTACTAACTGATGGATTACAGAAACTAGAAAAAAGGCTATTGCTAGAGAACAGATGAAAGGAATAGCTGCAGACTGGTTTGAAAGTATTTTTGCAACTATTA